GAGGCATACAGCGCCACCCCTCGGCCCCTCACCGTTTTTTCCCCCCCGGGGGCCCCCAAGGTTAGGCTGTCCTCTTTCTAAACAGCGTCTGTCCCATTGGATGTGTGAGCGTCATCTGCCACGCCTACGCTGCAGGTCACTGCTCCCTGCCAGTTGGTGTGAGAGCACATTCCACCAGGAGTGTCACCGCTTCCTGGGCTGCTTTGAGAGGGTTCCGCTGGAAGCTATATGTGCTGCTGCTTCATGGGCTTCCCCAACCACCTTCACCAGGTTCTACAGTGTCAATGTGGCTGCCCATCATCCCCTGGGTCAGGTCCTTTTACAAGGTTCTGCTGGGCCTCCTCTGTGAGGTATGTGCTCAGGATTCCTTGTGACATCATTGGCATTAGTCATTCAGTGCTTTCAGCACCGCCCTCTGGCGGTCAGTAGGGATGAAATAGAACGAAAGTTACGTATGTAACTACGGTTCTATGAATCCGGATGACCGCCAGAGCTTCTCTGTCACTCAGAATCCTTGTTTTTGCGAGAAGATTCTGTAGGAGCAGAGCAAAGAATGACACCAGGCTATATAGCTTCTGAGTGGTCATCCGGTGTCACAGGTGTGACTCTGTTGGTATAATTACTCGAACTGCGCATGCCCGAAGGGAACATTCAGTGCTTTCAGCACCGCCCTCTGGCGGTCATCCGGGATTCATAGAACCGTAGTTACATACGTAACTTTCGTTTGTCTTTATCTGTCTGTGTACAGGGTAATTTGAAAAGAGGTGAACATTTTATTAAATTGTATTAAAGCTGAACCTCAGTCCAAGGAACAATCCAATAAATTTTGGTCATAATCCACATCATAGTCTGGATGCATTTTTTTTTTTTTTAGGATTCTTCAACATATTTGGTGGAACCAGCAGTTCCCCCACTAAGCCAGAGGAAGGCAGCAGTGAATAAATATAATTATATCCTTTTTTCTAAAATTCACAACACAGTAAAAAGATAAATATTTATTGCTTCATATTATGGAAAGAGTCTCTTAATAAAAAAGAAAACTCTGTTTTTTACGAAAATGTCTGCTTGTGGATTAATCATTAGTCGATATATAAGGTCAATCAACTTCAGAATAATTAGTTAATCGATAACTTGCATCCCTAGTCTGGACACGACTGATTTAAAGGGAAAAATCTAACCTTTTTTTCTGTGATAAACAGGAAATCATGAATGAGGTGCTAATGGGTTAAACCTCAGAAATTTCCCAGAATTTTTTTAGTGGTATTAAAGAGATGCTGAAAAAGGTGCGAGTTTCCTCTGGCTTTATGCACCATAGATTAACTCTAATTTAATACTTTTTAATGCTCTTTCAATGCTATTAGAAGTAATTTTAATGCCATAAACAAGTTCCCATGACTGTCATATGTATATATATATATATATATATATATATATATATATATATATATATATATATATATATATATATATATATATACATAAAAACACAACAAAATATTTTATCTTTACTGTCCACAGGCTGCAGCCATGTCCCGAATTTCTCATTTCCAAGCGACTTGTTGAAATCGCTAGCCTTTTCTCCACATCGAGCCTTTCCGAACTAACGGCTCTACAATCAACAGGAAATCATGAATGAGGTGCTAATGGGTTAAACCTCAGAAATTTTACAGAATTTTGTTGGTATAAAGAGAAACTGAAAAAGGTTCCTGAGTTTTCTCTGGCTTTATGCATCATAGAGTAACTGCTTGGAATACTGCAACAATCCGGCACCCTTGCCAAAAGATAACAAAACAATGCTATGTTTTTTTTTCTCTTAAAGGGATAGTTCGGGATTTTTGACATGAATCTGTATGGCATCCCCATCACCAGTGTCATGCAATCACACTTACTTACCCCTGGCAGCATCCTGTGAGCAGAGTTCTCGTCCAGCTTTGGTCAAGCCGAAAGTAGTCCGACAGGTTTGCTAGACCCAGCGAAATAAAACGTTTCTCTTCCCAAAACATTATGTGTTCAAAAGAGCGATATTTTTGCATCCCAAAAACATTGTAGTGGAAAAAGTCACACGTCGTTATCACTTGGTCCTATTTTCTCTCTGTTCGTATCAGTGCGCGCCGTCATTCTGACAGCGAGCTCAACAACAGCCAGATGCATGTCTCGCTCCGCCTAGCTCCTAGCTGGACGGCGCGCACTGATGCCATACAGATTCATGTCAAAAATCCCGAACTATCCCTTTAAATTCATATTTTCACGTTTGTAATATAATTATTGGAAAAAGTTAGTGAATTCAGTTAGTTTGGTTCACCGTTTCATTTCCACTATGAGCTTCAACATAAAAATATTCTACGATTGTACCAAATAAAACGGTAGAAATGTGTCCAAGTTATGCTTTGCTATTAGCTACTGTTGTGACCATGTGCAGGATACAAGCGCTGCAGGACAGAAAAGCTGGAGCAGAAATAATCTGTGCTTCTGAGATTTTAGATAATTTTCCATATAATCCAATGATTGTTTTTTGGATTATTTTGGACCAACTTTAGATACCAAATTTTGATCAAAAATGCTTCAATAAAACCAAAGCGTTGACTTTAAAATGCTTTCAATGCAAGTGATAGAATATCTTATCTTTAAAATAAAATAAAAAATTCACTATATCTAGTTATGGAACACGCGTCATTCATGTTTGCTTGGCAGCAGTGATGTCACACGGATCTGAATACGATCTTAGCATCCAGATGGGATTTTTACCCTGGTGGAAGAGGATCTGATGCTGGAGCATTAGGGGCCTGTTGCCTGGGCTTCACCCCATCAGTTGTTGTTGAGCTGCTGCTACTGCCTCCAGCTCCTGAGGCACTCGCTTCTCCTGGCGCAGGGGAGGAAGAGGACGATGATGAGGATGCGGTGAGGGTGGTAGCCCCCTGGGTTGAAGAGGCTGAGGTGGTTGAAGCAGCAGTGGTGCCATCGGCAGGTTTAGCAGCGACAGACGATGCTGGAGAAGGTGTGGAAGCTGGAGGAGGCCGGGAGGAGCCGGTTGGGGATGGTTCAGCATTTGGCAGGGAAGCATCTAGAGCGCTCTCTTCATTGTCACCTGTAGAGGGCTGTGCTTCCCTTCTAGATGCTGAAGATTGCCTGGGAACAGTCTCAGAGGAGTTTCCATTCACTGCAGATGGATCAGAAAAATTAGTGTTTTTACAAAAAGCAACAGATCAAAAAAAATTTATACTAACAAACTCAACCATACAAAGTTTTAAGCAAAACAGAATATATCTAGAAACATTCTATTAATGCGTTAAGCAAAGTAACTTGCTAAAAAAACAAGAGGCAGGAGGAAATAAGAAGCTCAAGTTGTTAAAGTTACACCAGTAACAGTGTGAATAGGACACCATGGAGCCTCTAAAAACAGCCTGTTTTACTGCTGCAAAAGAACAAGAGCCAGAGGACAGGGAGGAAATAAACTGCACAAGTAACTAAGTTTTCAGGATAGGTTCATGCTTAAAAGATTTTTTCTTCCAATAAGTATTTCTGTTATGATTCTAAAAGAGAAGCAGAGGAGAACAGAACCGGAGAGCTAAATAACAACGATAAATAACAATTTACAACTAGCAATCCAGAAAGAGGCAACAAATTCACGTGGTTTATTAATCTAAGCTTTGAGGAAAATGTTGGAGCGGCAGTGTAGCTCATAAGTATAAATCCTCCCAAAGCGAATCTTTTAGAGAGTGAATTTCACACTCTGGGAGAGCAAATTCACAGTTGGTCACAGGCAGAGCTCTAAATGTCCTTAAGAACACAGTAGATGTAACACAACTCTTGTTTGTCTCGTTTGAGGGAAGCAGGGAAGCTGAAATAAAGACTGGAGATAAATGGACGGTATTTAGGTTTGGATCAAGGCATTCTGGGCAGGACAGGGTCTCTCCTAATCTGTTTGGGGATTTTTTAAACAAAAATCGGTCTTGTAGGCAGCATTTTTATAACCACACAGGGCTGCACTAAGAGCACCAATATTTATGTCTGGGATCATAACCGTTTATGAACCAAAACTGCAAGAATCAGTCCAGCGGTGGGAGATGATCCAGAGAGAAGAAGAAAAAAACAAAACAAACTAAAGCGGAGCCGTTTGAACTCAATCAGGAATAAAAAGAGATAATACTTTGATTAAAAAAAAATTTCATCTTTATGATAAATATTGACTTGTCTCTGTAAAATGCCTTGAGATGACGTGTGAACGATGATAGTGTGAATTAGCAATATATATAAACAAACTGAATTGAATTAAAATGCTATAGAAAAGGATGAAAAAAACAACTATGTTAAACGTATAGTGGAGGAATTTGGGGATATTTTTGAAAAGACTCGCCCTCTCCATCAAAAAAATGCACATGCACAACCCTGTACCCGCTTCAGAGAGGGAACCCCTATTAAACGTGTGCGAGAGCCCATTTCTCCTCGTGCACGCTCTGTTTAAAAGTTGCTGTTTGCATCGCTCATACAAGCTTACTTTCCAAAGGAAGATTTTCCATGTTTCCACTATGTCCGACTCACCACTGGTAAGTGAAAATGGGGACGAGCACGTAGGACGGCCTTACGTAAACATATCAGCAGAATGATTGACAATTAGGAGGACCACTTATTTAGAGATCCACCCGGAAAAAGAACATCCTCCACTACAGGTGCTGGTCATAAAATTAGAATATCATGAAAAAGTAGATTGATTTCAGTAATTCCATTTAAAAAGTGAAACTTGTATATTATATTCATACATTACATACAAACTCATATATTTCAGATGTTTATTTTGTTTAATTTTGATGATTACAAATAACAAATGAAAATCTCAAATTCATCATATCAGAAAATTAGAATATTGTGAAAAGGTTCAAAATTGATGGCCCCTGGTGCCACACTCTAATCAGCTAATTAACTCAAACCACCTGCAAAAGCCTTTAAATGGTCTTTCAGTCTAGTTCTATAGGCTACACAATCATGGGGAAGACTGCTGACTTGACAGTTGTCCAAAAGACGACCATCGACACCTTGCACAAGGAGGGCAAGACACAAAAGGTCATCGCTAAAGAGGCTGGCTGTTCACAGAGCTCAGTGTCCAAGCACATTAATAGAGAGGCGAAGGGAAGGAAAAGATGTGGTCGAAAAAAGTGTACAAGCAAGAGAGATAACCGCACCCTGGAGAGGATTGTGAAACAAAACCCCTTCAAAAATGTAGGGGAGATTCACAAAGAGTGGACTGCAGCTGGAGTGAGTGCTTCAAGAACCACCACACACAGACGTATGAAAGACATGGGTTTCTGCTGTCGCATTCCTTGTGTCAAGCCACTCTTGAACCACAGACAGCGTCAGAAGCGTCTTGCCTGGGCTAAAGAGAAACAGGACTGGACTGCTGGTGAGTGGTCCAAAGTCATGTTCTCTGATGAAAGTAAATTTTGCATTTCCTTTGGAAATCAAGGTCCCAGAGTCTGGAGGAAAAGAAGAGAGGCACTTCATCCACGTTGCTTGAAGTCCAGTGTAAAGTTTCCACAGTCAGTGATGGTTTGGGGTGCCATGTCATCTGCTGGTGTTGGTCCATTGTGTTTTCTGAGGTCCAGGGTCAACGCAGCCACATACCAGGAAGTTTTAGAGCACTTCATGCTTCCTGCAGCTGACCAACTTTTTGGAGATGCAGATTTCATTTTCCAACAGGACTTGGCACCTGCACACAGTGCCAAAGCTACCAGTACCTGGTTGAAGGACCATGGTATCCCTGTTCTTAATTGGCCAGCAAACTCTCCTGACCTTAACCCCATAGAAAATCTATGGGGTATTGTGAAGAAGAAGATGCAATACACCAGACCCAACAATTCAGAAGAGCTAAAAGCCACTATTAGAGCAACCTGGGCTATCATAACACCTGAGCAGTGCCACAGACTGATCGACTCCATGCCACGCCGCATTGCTGCAGTAATACAGGCCAAAGGAGGCCCAACTAAATACTGAGTGCTGTACATGCTCATACTTTTCATGTTCATACTTTTCAGTTGGCCAACATTTCTATAAATCCTTTGTTTTTATTGGTCTTCAGTAATATTCTAATTTTCTGATATGATGAATTTGAGATTTTCATTTGTTGTCATTTGTAATCATCAAAATTAAACAAAATAACCATCTGAAATATATGAGTTTGTATGTAATGTATGAATATAATATACAAGTTTCACTTTTTAAATGGAATTACTGAAATCAATCTACTTTTTCATGATATTCTAATTTTATGACCAGCACCTGTATACTTTTAAGTACGGTAAAAAAATCTATTTAATCATTTTGAATAGATTCCTTTACGTTTTTGCTAAATTGATGTCTAGGGAATGAGATCGATTGGTTTTATTGTGACGTGCGTGACGTTCACATTCAAATGAGCAGGAAAGATGCACTCAAAATACTTTAAAGGAATAGTACACCCAAAACATGATTAGCCTTCATTTTCTACTCACCCCCATGCTGAACAACACTCTGGAGTACTTTTTTGATATCTCAAATGCATCTGGAGATCTGGGAGGCTTCTTGCTGTCTGCTGACATTCAAATAATGGAGGTCTATGGTGCCCGAGGCAGACAGGTCCATAAAAGTCCACAAAAAACGTGTCAATATTCCTCCATACTGCTCGTCCAATGTATTCCAAGTGTCCTGAGTGGGTAGCATCCAGAATTTACTCGAAACTAAGTCATTTAGAATGTTTTTAGAGCATAAACAGTAGTGTATAGGATTTCCTGAAAGCGCGCACATGCGCGCTTACGACGCTACGGAAGCCGGCAGACCAAACCAGAGGAAAGTGCGCATTCAGCGTCTGCTCTGCCAATAATGCAAGCGTAGAAGAAGAAATGTGCTGTTTACCTGTGCAAAGAAAGAAACAACGAAAGAAAAATGTCTGAGGACTTCAGTGTTGAGGAAGAGCATGAGTTCTTTGCCGAGCTGAATGCGCTGGTTTGGTCTGCCGGCTTCCGTAGCGTCGTGAGCGCGCATGTGCGCGCCTTCAGGAAATCCTATACACTACTGTTTATGCTCTAAAAACATTCTAAATGACTTTGTTTCGAGTAAATTCTGGATGCTACCCACTCAGGACACTTGGAATACATTGGACGAGCAGTATGGAGGAATATTGACACGTTTTTTGTGGACTTTTATGGACCTTTCTGTCTCGGGCACCATAGACCTCCATTATTTGAATGTCAGCAGACAGCAAGAAGCCTCCCAGATCTCCAGATGCATTTGAGATATCAAAAAAGTACTCCAGAGTGTTGTTCAGCATGGGGGTAAGTAGAAAATGAAGGTTAATCATGTTTTGGGTGTACTATTCCTTTAAGCCACACAGCTGCAAATATAGCCAATAGGTTGATAGAAGACATTAACAAATGGGGGCTGACCAGCAAACACCCTGTAGTTGTTACAGAATACGCTGCAAATATGGTTTGTGCAGTGGAGATAATGCAGCTCATGCATGCCTGTTTGATCGAGTGACGCTTTTCACTTTTCACCAACAAGTTTGCACTTTTGAGACATCTCAAGTTTAAACTGTCCGATTTACAAGTTTGCACTTTGTGTTTAATATGACAGGAAAAAATAAAATACATGAGTGTTTTGAAACACAGTTGAACCACTTTCATTATTGTAAAAACAGATCGAATCAAAATTAACCGCTTTAGAACTGAATGAATCAAAATCGAATCGATTCAGGACTTTGGCGAAAATACCCAGCTCTACTTTTAAGTAATGAAATCCAGCATGCCGTATATTTAATCATGAAAATCTTTCTCCTAATACTCTTCTTGGATGTAGAGAACAAAGAATGGTTGCATCTCTTCACTGTGTTCACAGCTTTAATGAAGTGGAGGTAGAACAGTAGCAGTATAGAGGTCCTCCACATGGTTTCTTTCAAAAAGATTTAGAATAAGAACATCGTGAATCGTACCTGTTTAGAAACACAATGTAAAAAAAAAAAAAAAAAAAAAAAAAAAAAAATGGGAATGACACCCAATGATCAGGAGCTGTGCGTTTTTGTTGAGAACCAGCCTAAGTGGAATCATTTCTGTCCATTCATCCCCTTTAGCGTAGAGCAGCTCTGCAGCATACTGCACTCTGCTTTCCTCTACTTTATATCTCTCCTGGGTGTTTGGACAAAGGTGCTGACAGCAGCAGAGACTGCAGGCCTCACTTAATGAAAATTAATCTACTGTTCTTCTTCTACACTTCATTAAAACCCTATGAACCATGAAGAACATTAACTCGAATCTACTGGAAACAGAATAGGTTTTTGCATAGAAGAAGAGAAGAGAAAAATGCAGCATCCCATGGGTTGATCACATCCGCATTCCTGTCCTTGGAGGTGGTTATCCTGCCTTTTGCAGCATGCATCCTCATATTTACTAAATAACTAAACTACATATTCACAGATGGATTTTGCTACATGAAGGTGCGTGAAAAATGTGTTTTTACAGTTTGATAATAGAGTAAACTCACCCATTCTGGCGTCTGGGTCTCTGTCTGGAGGTTGGTGTACTGGGGTGGAGTTGGCTGTTGCATCTCCATTAGTCAGGCTGGGGACATGATGGAGAGGAGGGCTGCAGGAACTGGAAGGCACCTGACCATCTGCACCACTGGAGGCTGAGCAGGAACCGGACCGCTGGCCCAGGTCTGCTCCATTCATGGTGCTTCAAGAGGAAAACGATGAGTGAAGATCAGAAACTATACCACCCAGCTCCTTTTTTAATGTAGATTTAGCTTTAAAGGTGGACGATTCTTTGTATTCAAGCATCAAAGCGATAGTTCACTGGTATTTTAATAACAACAACTCTTTTTTTTTATTTTGCATCTGGAACTTTGTAAAAAGCAGCTAATGAAGAGTTGCTCATTATTCCCATCTGTTTAAGCACAGCATAAATAGCAAACTGGTTTAATCACTGAAAGGGTTTCCCCTGACTCATATTTAGTGCTGATAAAAGAGTTTAACTCATTATTGTCCCAAATTTTCTCTCTTGTTGATGTCATTCTTTTATTTTTGCCACACATTAAATTATTGGTGCTTTACAAAATGTACTAAAACACATTTCCTGTCTCCCTTTACTCCGCCCTGTTTCTTGATCCCTCAAACAATGTCGACCAATTTTCCACTCGTTATCTTTTATGCAAAGGATTGTTTGAAGTTTCTCTAAATCTAGATTATGAATTCTGTGCAAACAAAAAAGGCAATCGGAGGATTTAACACTTTTCAAACGATAATTTGCTCTTAAAGTTATTTAACATTTCCTGTGATCCATTTTCCTTTTTCCAGCTGAGCTACTATTACATCCATTGGACTTTTGGAGCAGAATTATATCATGTTTAAAGCTTAAATTACTATACATCGTACTTTGGAGGAAAACAAGAAAAAAATAAGAAAAAAATTCCAATATATTTTAATCTAATTTCACATGAAAATACAACAAAGTGGTGCTAATAAACACCAACTGAAGATGGGCTTAAACTCTTTGGTAAGGATTGCTATTTATATTAGCCAAGCAATAACATAACATCTGAAAAAAAAAAAAAAAATCCCTGATGATGTAAATTGCTGTTGAAACCAGAGGAGTAAATGTTTATTTTTTTTGATTAATTTCTGTAGTGGATCTAAAGACCTCATGCTAGTTGATCAAGTACCCCAAGCGGGGTCACAACCCCGGCTTTGGCAATCAGTGATTTAGTTAATCGCCTTCGTCATCAATGGAATAATACAGAATATAAAGCCATTAGGTTCAAGGGGTATGGATGTTTCTGCAAAGCACTGTCTTTAACAAACACCATATTATGTGAATAATCAAAGCAGGGAGGGTCTTTGCCACCCACACAAAGTAGTTGGCAAAATGTTGCAGCATCAAATATTATCTAAAATAAACGGACCAGGCATTTTTCATTACCTTAAAGCTAAAAATGAAAAGATGAAACTGATTTGATGGGATTTGGCTCGTAACAATCACAACATCTGACTCAAATTTGTTTCCCTGTTTGAACAACAGCACTCAAATCCAATCCAATCAACCCCCACCTTCCTGACAGAGAGGACAGCCTGAGGTTGTTGCCGACATCAACATAAATACCCCCCCACCCCCAAGAATGAGTGAATAAATTCCTCTTTTTAACATTATGAAAACTTAAGTTTAATACACTATTCTAGCACAAGTTACTTATGATTTATGCATTTACGGTGATTACCTGTTAGCAGCCCTTGAAGAAGAGGAAGAAGAGTCCCCGTTTTCATGAATGGCGTCACCATTCTGCTGGACTTCTGGCAAAACAGATAAATATTCAATATCAATTCAGTCTGGATATGCAGCGTGGGATTAAGTTAAAGTTATTTACAGATTATCTAATAAATCTGTTAGTTTTTGTAGATGTCATGCAGGATGAATGCTTGACTTAATGTAACATAACACACCCCTAACATAAGTAGGGAGCTCACTGGTGCCGTTTGCTGTGCCGCCATTGGTCAGCGGTGCCAGTTCCTCCTGATCAGAGACAGTCAGGCCATCAAGGTACACAGTCAGCTCGCCAACAGGCATGGAAACCCCCTTCTGCTCCCCGTTCAGCTTCAACACCTCCTTCACGTTTTCCACTATGGAGAAAACAGGTAGCAAAAAAATAAAAAAATAAAGAAAACAACACAGCTAAATACATTTAGAATGAGATTATGATGGTACATGTGTTCAATGTAGCTTCTGCTGCCATCTAAAACAGATTACCATAACTCTTTAGACTGGTGGAGATGCCATTGATTAAATTTAGGAATCATATGCAGACAGGAGGGCACCTCTGATCTTAAACAAAGGTTTATGATATACATTTTTACCTTCTTTTTCATTGCCCCCTCCTTTTTTACTCTAGCAACACGCTACTATGATATTGTAATTCCTCAATTACCTGAAGTAAAACAAGTTTTTAAGTAAGACATACCACCCTGGAAAAAATAAGTGCATTTCTTCTTTAATTGAGCAGGTAAGTGAGACTCTTAGCCAATTAAACAAGACAATTTATATTTAAAATAAGTAAAAAAATATTTCATTGTCTTATTTCAAGTGTTTATTATCTAATTACCTTATTCTAAGAGTAAAAACTCTCATTCCATTGGCAAATCATCTTATTTACCTACTCAAATTAAGGGTAAAGACTCTTAATTTAAGACATTTTGACTCTTTTCTAGATCTTTTTTTGAGCACTGAATGTCCAACCTGTTTAAATTCAAAATGGAACCTCAAGAATTATTCCAAATGAATATTAGATTATGTGTCAATTCATGCAGTGTTTCCCGTAACATTATCCAAACCGAGAACCCCTCCCAAGAACCAATATTAATCTATTAGCTTGTCAAAGTATTGGCAGATCTCATCATCAGCTGTTTCTGCCCATACTTTGTCACTCATCTGCTATCAGTTTTCTCTAACGAGATGCTAAACCCGACAAAGCTGGAGGAAACGCTTCTAAATGTATCAGAGACTTGCGCCGAGTCACATGGGCTCACACTCAGGTGTGCTACCAGAAGACAGAGAGAGAAAACTATTAAAAGCAGGTGTGGTGTTTTCATTAGGAGGTTCGGAAGAATCCTGAAGACTGGTTCTGGTTTTTGAAATCGAACTGACGATTATCAACCCATAAAAACACAGCCTCACCCGCATACAAGCATCTCAGAACTCATGGGAAGGAGCACTCCATTTCGTCTGGGATTGAAATTAGTCTTTCATTTTCACAACTAGATAAACGTTACCGATTTCCTAGAGTAGGAATAATTTACCTGAATGTCTTAAAGGAGAAGTTCGGTTTTTTACACTTTAAGCCCATTTTCTGTAGTGTCCAGGATGAAATCGAATGATCGACACCAAAAGTTTGACAATTGCTCCTGTCTCTGCTTTTTGGCTCATTTAGAATCCACCCCTGGCTGCTTTAGAATGGCTTCCATAGAGCATGTCCGATAATGTCCTTAAAACAACCTTAAACATTCTTTTTTTAAAATATGCTACTCACCGGGTCGTCAGCGCTGTTCAATGACGTTCCAAAAAAAGTTTCGTAAAGAAAAAACGTTCCTGTAGTGTTTTATTTAGCATTTTGTAAATCCCATTGAGTTCTGTAGGAATAGTCAATATTCCGCTGCCACCGGAAACGGAAATGGGGCCTGTTTACACAGTTGTAGTCTTTTCGCTTCACTCTGTGTACTCCGACGTCGAGGTGCTAACGTCTCTGTTAAACACTTTAAAAAACTCTGAAAATGGAATACGAAAGGTGGATTCTTGATTCTCGACGTCGGAGTACACAGAGTGAAGCGAAAAGACTACAACTGTGTAAACAGGCCCCATTTCCGTTTCCGGTGGCAGGGGAATATTGACTATTCCTACAGAACTCAATGGGATTTACAAAATGCTAAATAAAACACTACAGGAATGTTTTTTCTTCACGAAACTTTTTTTGGAACGTCATTGAACAGCGCTGACGACCCGGTGAGTAGCATATTTTAAAAAAAGAACGTTTAAGGTTGTTTTAAGGACATTATCGGACATGCTCTATGCTAGCCATTCTAAAGCAGCCAGGGGGGGATTCTAAATGAGCCAAAAAGCAGACACAGGAGCAATTGTCAAACTTTTGGTGTCGATCATTCGATTTCATCCTGGACACTACAGAAAATGGGCTTAAAGTGTAAAAAACCGAACTTCTCCTTTAATTTGACCTCAGCTCTTCCATAGAACATCTTCAATCATGGCCTCACTGTTTCACAGATAAAATGCCTCTTTACCAGTAGGTAACAGTTGTTCAGGGTTTCTCCCTCAGTCTTGTTACATTTGTTGTTTTTTTTAAGTTTGTTTTTTGCGGCTACGGTATGAAGATAGTTATTTAAATGTGAAATTCCAGCACAGATTTCAAGAGCCTGAATCTTTTTGTTGATTTGTTTAAAAAGAAAAAAAGTGCGTCAAACCAGAGCTTATGGTTTTGAATAAGGCTTTTATACCTGCAAGGTGTGTATCTCACCTTTGATTTACTACTAAAGGAATTAAACCTGCAGCAAATTTTTAATATTAAAAATTTTAAGCACTTTTTTAGTCAAAGCAAGATTCTTACTGACTAAAATCTGATTAAATGTGAATTTAAAACAGCTTATGTGACCAAAACGAAGACTAAACTCTCCAGACTAAAACTGGACTAAAACAAGAAAGAAGCATTTGAATAAATTGTCGCTAATAATTATAATTTTGTATCAAAAGACTAACACCAACACATCTGAAATATTGTCTAAATTGACAATAATTAGATATGACATTTATTTTGGATTCATCTGAGGTGAAAAGGGTGACAATTCACACATTTAATCCGTCAGCACTGACCTGCCATCTCCTTTTAGAGTATTTCCCTTCTTTTTTTCAAACACATTTTTGAACTCCTCATGGCTTTCCATCAATGAAATGTCGAGCGCGTTAACATTTCTCCCTTTTTACTTAATGAGCTCTAATCGAGTACAAGGTCTGCTTGTGTGAACCGGTTAGTTAAACCTGTCTTGAATAAGTGACATAAACCAAGAGAGGCATCCTTTGGCGAAACCTAATAATCACAGCTTGGCATGTTTTGCCTTAGCCGAGTCAGAATACTGCATTTGTGTCGCAGTGAATGCAAATGTGCCCCCACCCCTTCCGCAGACACTCTGCTGCACCTCTCCAAAATTCGAAGGTGACCGCAGAAAGTGCTGCAGACAGGAGGCCTCTGATTGGTCAAATCTACATCTATTCTACATTATGCGTATTTCTTGTTTGGTTCCTTACCGGCTTGTGGAAAACGACTCGTGAAGATGGACCAACTAGAAGAGCAAGGTGCGTGAGAACGCTGGGACCATTTCTCCACCTGGATCCCCGCTCTTTTGTGCCCTCATGTCTCCCCGTTGTCGCACAAACTTGCTCCCACTTCCTCACCACCTCGGCCGTATCTAGACCCATAGCTAGTTCATGATTGTCCGTCTTGCGTTGTGGCGTGGAACAACATAGTGCCGACCATGCTTCAATATTGGGCATAAATCTAAAATACCTGCGACAAGCTCACTGCGACACACTGCTGCGGGGAGTATAACCAGCCCTTAAGGCATACAAGTTTGAACAACTTTTAGAAAATACCTCTCAAGTTTAATAAGAAAAATCAGCTAAGCTTCAGACTAATGCAAAAAATGTTAGCGACAAAGAAATCATGGTTAAAAAAAAAAAACTGATCTTATTTAGAGATATTTTGGTTTCAAATCAGACGATGTTCTACAAACAAAGGTATTCAGCTACACATGTTGATCACTTTTATCAACAATGAAAGGAAATTTGACTAATCTCCATTATCACCTTCAATATAACCACAAAATAGAAAGGGTTCCACAAAGCTAGAGCTGGCATAAGGGATGTTAAATAATTTATAATACAATGGATGAAAGTTATTGTTTAATGAGTTAATATAAAGTTGTTTACTCTTATATAACGATTACTTCATAAGCAGCCATTTTTCCCTAACACGAATGGCTAAACTCTTTACAATTTGGATTAAGGCTACAACATAACAAAACATGGAAAAGTAAAGCACATTGAATACTTTCCTGATGTGTTTTAAGCATTAACTCATATATTGCAAGTGATATCTCAATACTCTGCAGTTATCTCGCGCCGGAGGTTCTACTAATATCTTGAAGCCCTAACTGTTCATAATTCTTTATCTATGCAGAAAACTATCAGAATTAGCGTCTCCAATGCCAGTAAGTCTAACCTTGCTTTGTAAATCTTAATCTGCTATCGTATTTAGAAACGAGGCAGAAAGCAGCATACATACTGGAATAAAATGCTAATCTAGATAAGTCATTTTTTCTTAAAGCAAGTGCATTTGTTCTTGAATTGAGGAGATAAAAGAGACATTTTGCCAGTGGAACAAGATAATTTACACTTAAAATAAGTAAACACAACTGCATTGTCTTATTTCAAGTCTAAATATCTAATTTTAAGAGTAAAAACACTAATTCCATTGGCAGATCATCTAATTTACCTACTTTAGTTAAGGGTAAATACACTTTTTACTTATTTCTAGATCGTTTTTCCAGTGCACATCTATCACAGTCATGTTTCTGTTTACGTCGTCTCATGAGTCTTAAAATCCTACATTTTCTGTCGTGCTGTTCCAGTGCCTGAGTGAGATCCAGCGTTGCTTTGCCCAGCAGAGCGTCTGCTTTCAGGGTGTGGTGGCTCCATACTTTGAAATTCACCTGCGTGTGTGGCGTTACAGTCCTAAAAAGAAAATCAAGAACACACAAACACTTCTTAGAAAGCCCAAGTCTCATTGCTAAAAAGGAGGAAAGCAATAAACATAAAGCATGGAGGTTTTTCTTTCCCATAGGGAAAGACATTAAACATGCTTTCATCTGTCATTTATGACTTATTAAGACAATATTTAAACAGTTGAAGGTTCTATAAAGATAGTGTGATGCCATAACACCTTACAAATAAAACAACTATAAAGAATCCATCTACCTACCACCCCCTAAAAAAAGAAAAAAAACAAAAACAGCAAGAAGAGATAAGATTCATATCTGGCATAATGCCGACTCGTTGAGCTCTAACAAGGACAAAACGAGCACAACACAGTGCAGCCATTGTTTTTAGAACCGAGCACATCGGCCCAAAGAGAAACATCTTAAATTACAGCCTCAAAGTCATGAGAAAGACCCACAGTGCCTTGCAAAACATGCACGATGCAAACACAGGAGTGCTTAACACTGCAGCCCTAGCTGCCCTGTTTAAAACCTTTACTATTAGCAGTGATTTGTCTCTGGCTGCAGCTCAGAAAGAGCTGCAACATTTGTGCTGGTGGCTCTGGTTGTGGGACAGCACAAAGAGGCCTGTGTGCTTTCAGACAACTCCTGTAGTTTTTTTATTTTTTCAAATGATCAGATGAGCAACCGGAGGGTTCTTATATAATACTACTTGCGATTCCCTAAAGCTGTAAAGTTATTGCAACTTTGTTTTGTTCAATAAGCGATATAAACAAGCCTTAGGTGAGCTTAAAGGAAGTTATGGTGGAAACAAGAGAAATATCAGCTGCTTCGCTAAAAGCAGCTATAAATGAGCCTGAATCCTGCAGAATATTCCTTACGACGCGTAAGGATCACATTAGGGTGAAAAACACAAACAGTGAGCAGGACAGCAGAGGGTAAACAGAAGCCCCTTACAGAGTGAGCCTCTCGTCCCATTTTGGGTTGGAGGAGCTGTGAGATTTGGTCGTGCGCCGGGTCTCTCCCTCTGCTGTCACCTCCACATAAATGGCAGCGCCGAAAACGCTCTTCTTTCTCTTGAGTTTGGCACATGACACTAGAGAGGAGGACATTAAGGAAGAAGTTAGAACAGAAAAGATGGTTTACAGCCAGGATTTCATGTCTAGCGTGCTTTGACTCACCAATGGCATGGAGCTGGGATGTGCGTCTGTGGTTATGGCTAGTCTCTGCTCTTGATGAGGCCGTGGCCATGACATTCGCCACAGTGGGAAGCCTTACATAGAGAAACCAGGCAACATCAGCAGCTCACTCCTGAGAACCCACAAATTACTTTAAACTGGAAAACTTCACTGACATCATAAGGAAGCTTAGAATATAAACTGTTCCAATGCAAAGGTGCTTCAAGGTGATATCAGTGTAATGATCTGAGTGTGTTCTCATTGATACTTACGACAGATGTGTCTAGCTAGGCCGTCCTGTTCAGCCTACTCTGTGTCCCATGGCTGCACTGTAACAAAGAAGATCACATTTGATCAGAGAGGCACCGGATCAGGACGCAATCAGCCAGAGATTAGAACCGGCCCGTTTCATAATGAATGGCTCTGATTGGAGATCGGCAGGTCAGACACCTAAAAAGCATTTGTTCACAAGCTGTAAAACATGGCCTTTTCTGAAAAAGTAACCAGTCAGAGAAGTATACGTTTGTGTCCTCTCAGCGGCTCCCTTACTCAGGGGTCAGTGAAGTGAGTCAGTGTGACTTATTCAGACAGAGGCAGTTTCTGAATTCACTAGAACGTGAGTACACACTCGTGTCCTCACCAAGTATGTTCTGGAGAAGAACACAGGAAAGTGTGGACTTTGGGAGAACGGGAGCACTCAGCATAAATATGGGTCAATAAGAACAGAAGCGTACTTGTGACGTCACCACACGCCGGCACGTCTGGAGCTGCATTTCACCTCCTGTTAATAGTCTCTAGATAATAATACATTCTTACTTTTTTTCATTTAGTGGGGGAATAATAATTAACACAGTCAGATTAACACAAATCAAACTAATATCTTGCCAAATAAAACAAAAAACTCGCCATCAGAGGCAGAAATACTTCACACATGGCTATGCTAAGAGAGGGCTGCGGTTTTTTAATTACACATTAAATTGGTAAATGGACCATATATTGATGCTTTAAAGTATAATATTCTCGCCTCAAAATATCTTAAAACAGGCTTTTACTGAACAACAGCAATAGAAAAGAGAACTTTTAACTTTCAATGGAGCGCTCCATTGAAAGCTGCTGCTGCCGCAGTGCATGCTGGGACAGCTGTCAATCTCAAGAATGGACAAGTCTGCTATGATGCATGCTGGGTAAAGAGGGAGGGGCGAGAACATCCGGGGACTTTGAACATCAGTTCAAAGTACTCCGGGGACTTTGTCTGTTCTCGGTCTGCTGTTCTTGTGAATTGGAAAAGTACTAGGGCTGAGGATGATGATGTTTCACGAGTACATGAAAACGCACAAGTACACATATTGAGAAAAGGCCCGAGACCACAGAACCATGGGGAGTCTCGGGGATAAATTATCAAATCAATTCAACAAAACATTCTGGTTATGAAGATTTCATTTTTGGAAAAAATCATGATTTCTTGCGCTTCCAGAGCTTTGGGTGACATCAGTTTATCATGTTTATTTCTTAGATATGTACTAATAACTAATAAAACAGCTCACTGCGTAAAACCACCAGCTGGTAACATTTAGTGTGTTTTATTTTATTTTTCTATCTATTCTCTCTGACGGCACAGTAGCTGGAGTTTTTCACACCAAATACCACCCAAAATTTTGTGATCCGTTTACAAGTTCTAAAAGCAGATCACTGCAAAATCTCTTAGAATGATATCTACACTAGAGAAAAATCGAAATCTAGATGAGTATTTATTTTTTTTTTCTTAAAGTGCATTTGTTCTTGGATTGAGGAGATAAAACTGACATTTTGCCTAGGAACAAGATAATTTACATTTAAAACGAGAAAACGCAATTGCATTGTCTTATTTCAAGTGGATGTTATCAAATTATCTAATTTTAGGAGTATAAATACCCATTACATTGGCAAACTACCTCATTTACGTACTCAAATTAAGGGTAAATACACTTAATTTTTTCAGTGTATAGTTCAGAAAAGTAGTAGGAAGCTGCTGGAGTAAACGATCCTCTGAGGACAAGCTGCAACATTATGACTATCATAGGTAAAGTTACTTTTCCTATACAGCGATGAGTTTATTCTCCCCCCCGGTCTCTCTCTGCTCTCTAAGTGCAACAGGCTCATATTTATAGGACTGTGGTCCATCACATGTGTAGCTGTACACATCTGAAATGTCTTTGTTGTCTGAATAAGCATTGGAATTTATCCTTTACTGCTGTAAAGCTAAGCAGACTCTCGGGAAATAAAAATAGCTCATATACAAGTACATTTTGATTCAAAAAGCAATTCCTTACATTATTCTAAATACTGATAAAAGTGAGGCCCTAACCTACGATATGTTTTTTAAGGAAAAAAAGAAAAGAAACAAAACGCAGCCCGGTGACTTTTTAAAATTACTAACATCTATAGAGGAATGCTCCTTTACTATTTGTTTACCATTTGTTTTTATAACTAATTCATACAAAAAATATACATATATACATATATATTTATATATTTTGATGGATAATTAAAACATCTGTCAGCAGCAGCCCTGCTTTACACTGGGGTTGCAACTAACATTTATACATTTTTCGATTAATAACCCATAGCAAAAGGTTCCCCAAAGAAAATTTTTTACAGAATTATATCGAGTGAAACTAAAACTTTTCAACTTGAGGACAGGTAGTTAATGATAGATCAATTACTTCAATAATCGACTAATCACGATTAGTCCAAAGAATTGTTTCAGCCCTACTTTACACGTCTAAACTCCCTCCATTTTGGTCAGAAAACTCAGATACAAAGGGAACAATGTTCACAGACCACTGTAAAAACAATAATAAAAAACAGGATTTTTGGAATGTATAAAAACTGGAACATGATGAATAATTGCCAAATTTCTTCCACATTTCACGCAATATTAATCTGGTACTACTGAAGTGAAAAACAAAAATCTATTAGAAGGAAAAATATCTAATAAAAAGTCACAATTACCTAACTGCAAAGATGTACAAATGGTTAACACTTTAAAGGAATAGTACACCCAAAACATGATTAGCCTTCATTTTCTACTCACCCCCATGCTGAACAACACTCTGGAGTACTTTTTTGATATCTCAAATGCATCTGGAGATCTGGGAGGCTTCTTGCTGTCTGCTGACATTCAAATAATGGAGGTCTATGGCGCCCGAGACAGAAAGGTCCACAAAAGTCCACAAAAACGTGTCAATATTCCTCCATACTGCTCGTCCAATGTAATCCAAGTGTCCTGAGTGGGTAGCGTCCATAATTTACTCGAAACGAAGTCATTTAGAATGTTTTTAGAGCATAAACAGTAGTGTATAGGATTTCCTAATAGCGCCCCCATGCGCGCTCACGACGCTACGGAAGCCGGCAGACCAAACCAGCGCATTCAGCTCGGCAAAGAACTCATGCTCTTCCTCAACACTGAAGTCCTCAGACATTTTTCTTTCGTTGTTTCTTTCTTTGCACAGGTAAACAGCACATTTCTTCTTCTACGCTTGCATTATTGGAAGAGCAGACGCTGAATGCGCACTTCCTTCCGGTTTGGTCTGCCGGCTTCCGTAGAATCGTGAGCGCGCATGGGGGCGCTATTAGGAAATCCTATACACTACTGTTTATGCTCTAAAAACATTCTAAATGACTTCGTTTCGAGTAAATTCTGGATGCTACCCACTCAGGACACTTGGATTACATTGGACGAGCAGTATGGAGGAATATTGACACGTTTTTGTGGACTTTTGTGGACCTTTCTGTCTCGGGCGCCATAGACCTCCATTCTTTGAATGTCAGCAGACAGCAAGAAGCCTCCCAGATCTCCAGATGCATTTGAGATATCAAAAAAGTACTCCAGAGTTTTGTTCAGCATGGGGGTGAGTAGAAAATGAAGGCTAATCATGTTTTGGGTGTACTATTCCTTTAATACAGCACTAAAAGCCACCTAGATTTGTTAACATCTGATGTGGCAAAAGCTCCACAACCCTAACAGATTGGAAGGACAGATATCTGTGTACAGAAATCCTCAATCCTGTCAACTTTATACTTGAAGTCTGGCTGGAAGAAACCAAAACCTTTCGTTTTGTGTTTGTTTCAAGCTTTCACAAACACCTACACTGTCCCTCCAAGAAGGTTTTTACAGGATTTCTGACAGATCTGGAGGTTTTTATTAGTAAGAAATTACTGTTTTTCAATGTTGGTCTAAACTAGGTCAAATCAGGATAATGAAACATTATAGAAAAACAAAAACACAAAATAAGACTGCAAGAATATCAGATTTTTTATAAAATTTGTAAGTTCAAACACAAATCTAACAAATTTGAGAGGCTTTAATTTTCTCATAAAGTCACAGTTTGTAGGACTTCAGCATCTCCAACATGGTAAGATATAACAATAGAAAATAACCCAGGTATGACTAGAAGCTTTGGCTGTATCTAAATGGATGGCTTTTTTTCTTCCATGCAAAGCCAAAATGCGGGACCCAGAGATCAAGTTGCTCTCATGCAGGACAAAACACAGCCCAGCTGCTCTGCTGTACTCCTCCTACCTGCGGGACACTTCAGCACCTTGCGAAAATAAGGAAAAGAGCCCGACGGAGGCTTTAAAAACCACACTGACATCTCAGTCTAAAAACAATAATGTAACAAAGATTGAGGTGACTGTTTACGGAAGAGGATTAGGGCCAATGAAATCCTTCCGTAAAGGCTGATTTATACTTCGAAACCAGGCCCTCTGCAGAGGTGTCGCAGTGAACAAAAAGACGTCCCTGTCCCCTCCACAGATGTTCTGCTGCACCTCTCCCAAATTATAACAGACAGCTGACAGGAGGCCGGCCTGTTTTGTTTTTTTATGACCGAAATTGCAGAAAACAACTCGTGAAGTTTGACTAGCAGGAAGATTGAGGTGCGTGAGAACGCTTGGACCCTTTTTCCACTTGGATCCTCGTTCATTTTCGCCACCATGTCCCTCGCCCCCACTTCGATCGCCTCGGCCGTATGTAGACCCACAGCGTATAGCACAGGCCACGCTTCAATATTCAGCATAAATAAAAAATTACTGCGTCAAGCTCACTGCGAGACATTGCTAAAGGTGTATAACCAGCCCTTAAGTGTAAGTGTTTCATTAAAACTAAACCAACTAATAAATTCCTCAACTGTTATGTCAAATATCATGAACACATATGCAGGGGAAAGTGTGCAACCTGAAAAGCAGGTCAGAAAACAATGGATTTAGAAAAAAATTAAATAAAATGAAAGGCTACTGTAGCTTTAACAAATTAGAAAAAGACAGTATCAACAGCAGCAGAGAATAATGA